TTAAGTTTGAAAATGTAATCACATTTATGATCTATGTTTAAAGTTGGTATATTGGAAATATCTTTAAATATGTTATGATTATTATTTCCCTGTATAATGATCATTTTTGCATGCATTTTATGTGTAAACATATATATGCATTTAATGGAAGTAGCATTTAAGTATAACGTTTACATCATTAATGTAAGCATTGACTGATAAAGAGAGAGATGGAGACAGTAGATTGGATGATAAATTTTGTTAAGAGTAACAAAATTTTTCTAAGGGAGCAAGAATGAAGCAATTGAACATTTTTGATGAAATTTTACAATTGCTTCAGGATTTTGCTAATTGAAAATAGTTTCAGAATAAAGTTATACCAGTGTTTCAAGTTTAAGTAGACATATACATGTAGAAAAGAAGCGCCAAGGAGACGCTTGTATTGCAAAATAAGACCAGAAGCTAGGAAGTTCGAGTTAGCAAGGTCAGTGGTATACTTGCTCATTTAATTCTACTATTTCAGTAGCTTCTGAATACTGAGACAATCCATTACTGTCTGATCTTACTTTCTTATTCTTTCTAGCTTTACATAGCCCATCTAATGTCATTAACTTTAATAATGCCAATTTATCTCTCTTGATATATAACGCTAGCTTACTAGTACTACTACTAAGCATAAGGTTACCAATACTGAATTAGATAATTTCCAATTATCTAACCTCTGTCCTTCAGCTGTAGCCCGCAATCGGTCTACACGTTGTTGAAAATCCTTAAGACTTAATCCTGACTTTCTAGGAGGTAAATGTTTAATGTCTTCTAGTATATCCGTCAATTCTTTAACATCTGTTTCCACATCTATACTCTGAATTAATTGTAATTCCTTTTTATTTAATAGTTCTTGTAACTCTGGAATCTTTGCATTTAATCAAGTTCCTACATAGTTAGTTTCACTTCTAAAGCTAGAGAGCAAGGTAATACCTTGACCATGAGCTGAAGAATTTCTGGCTAATTTTAGATAACCACTATTGTTTAACTTAATTACTTTAGTATGGTAGTCAAATTGGTGTACATTTGACTTTGGACATACAACTGATAAAGCAAATTCATTCTTAACGTTAAGTAACCAAG